AAAGACAGTCGCTGCTTTAACACGCATCCTGCTCATGACCTAGTATAAGCAGAAAGCTTTGATGACAATGGTGCCGCCGCCTTCCTCGTGACCGTTGCTACGCCTAAATGTATTCTACTGGTGTTAATATCAGTTCCAGTGGCGAAGATCGCCTTTGTCGTCAACGTCAAGCTAACATGCCTGTCGTTACTAGCCTTTTAGAAAAGCAAGTGACTGGTCTTTCTGTTAATGTAAATTGTTGTCACTAAGGCTCGACACTTAGTGGTGTCAATTATATCCGTCAGTTTGACGTAGCCTTGTCTGTTTTTTTTTACCAGGCAGTACCACACGGTCAAGCGAGGCGGCGCAAGCGAAGGCTCATCACTGGGGCGATTATCGTGCCCGTCTTGAAATTGCCGTCGCAGAAGTTTTGGAAAAGGCAGAGCACCTACAGACCCTACAGAATATGCAACGTCAGAAAGACCTCGATCATCCCCCGGGCGCTCCCACTGCAACTGATCTCCAACCTTCGTCGTTAAAAGCGACGCAGGCGACCAAGCAGGCGATCGCCAACAACGCGGTTGGCGAGTTTCGGAAACTGAAACAGCAGAGTATGAGGAAAGACCGACAAAATGTGTCCATGGATGTGCTGGATTCCTATGACTGTTTGTCGGATTCAAGCACGGTACGCCTGCGTTGTTTTCCGGCCTGTGCTCTTATAGTTACCGATGGCCTATAATTATGGCGGTAATTTTTTTGACCACTTCCTCCATATAAGCAGTTGATATCTCAACTAAATAATTCAAGATACCAGTTTGAAATTAGCTTAGTGTCGTATTTTCTGACTTCCCACTTGACAAAATGAGGTCTCTTTTAGACAAACCCAGATGTGCTTAGGCTTAGGCTGTCTACCACAAAAAATTGATTGAACTGGTGTGTGTCGTAGCCCTTGTTGGGTCAGGAATCCCAGCCGGAGTCCAAACTGGTTGTAGTTGGAAGACGGAGGAAAGCCGAGATCTCGATCGGCTTGAACCAAAGGCCCGCGGGGACTAGCGGTAGACAAGTCCGGTTATTTACGGATGATGTCTCCTACAATAAACCGAAACTACGAAGACGCGTAGCTAAGACATGAACTCAGATCACTGAACGTTTGAATCGAACGTTTTAGCATTAAGTTATGGGCTCCCGTCTTGCGGGCTATAATCTGAAATAGTCAGTCACACGTTCGCCAATCTATGCTTATCAGAGGACTGAATGCGGGCCTTGTATTTTGCAAATACTGAATGGCTTACCATATTGAAAGTTCAGGTACTACCTGTCAGTACGGCAAATCGTATAGTATTCGTGTATCTTTTTCACTTTATATTGGCAGTTTCTAAATATTATGCAGGTATTCGGCAGTGGCTGATGGGTTTGAGCTCAAATCTATCAACTTTCGGAGCGGACCTAAAAAGCTTTGTTTCGAAGGATTTAAATCAACTTTGCTCATTCATTTCCGAAGAAATTAAAAAGCATAGTTTCATTTTGCTTTAACGGTCGTGTAACGGCGAAAAGGCGATTGTCGGCAAGAAGGATGTAGACTGAAGTGTCCATATCCAGCTTATTTGTTTCTGGTAAACTTGCGATGCCCAACTCCATAACTGCAGCTTCCAGAAACAAGAACATGCTTTC